TACAGTGACATCCTCCAGCACGTCATTAGAGCAAATGGAAGAAGAAAGAAATATGCTTTGTGAGAAAGAAATATGCCAGACCAATGCAAGAAGCAAAGCGGAGGAGGAAGAGAAGGGAAGAGAGAAGGAACGTTGCAGAATAGTGTTTGGGCAGGGAGGACAATAGAAGAGGAAAAAAGTCCAAGATTAATTTTATGCTCAAGAAAGGAGTTACTCCTTGATCACTGCTGTGTCAAAAGTAATAGACTCCAATATGCTGAAGACATAAAAAGTAATGTCACTTTTTCTAGTAAAATGATGGAAAAGTAGAAGAATAAAAAAAAGGGGGGAAAAAGTTAAGTATGCTTTCTAACTCAATAGTCTCAGTCCCAAGAAGACCACAACAGTTTTCTACACAGTAACTACTGAGCTGCTCCATCTGTTCAGAAGAACTGCAAAACTTTCATTAGAATTGCCCCACTTGACAAGTCTGAGATTCTTTCTTCAGCATCTTTTATCTTTCTGTCCTTTGTACAGACACTAATGCTAGTGCTCTGCCTTATACTGGGGCTGTTAAAGTTTAGAAAATGGAAATAGTATTTTCATGAAGGCCCCAGTCCACTATGAAGTTTCAAATAGACTCTGGTTTTGAAGAAGTCTATGGATAGTTGCTGTGTGTTCTAATTAATGCCAAATAAATTAATAATTATTGGTACTGAAATCAATATGAGAGTTCCAGTTTCATAATTCAACATATTTTTCTCATTGAGCACACCTACAGCAAGCCTTCTAATTTCTTTCCATTTCCATTGCTAGTTAAAAAGTTAATTTCAACTTAATTAACAAGACATCTTTTTCCTCAAGACAAAACATCTTCCTGATTTGCCTCGTCTGAAGTAATAAGGACAATCTTTTGAATGACATACTTGAAAGTTCTCAAAAACAGTGCAGCACAAAAGGGCCACCCCTGTAATTCACATCAAGAGGTGAGGAGCTCTCAGTTGTCCTAACCCCAAACAGAAAGCAATGGGAATAGAGTATTTCCTGCAGCTGCCTTGGAAAGGAATTAGGGAAGTACATATCTTTGTGATACTGCTAACGATGAAGAAGAGGTTACACTGTAGACAGCTACCATGATCACCTCAATCAATTATGTTCTGTGCTAAACTGGGATTTCATTAACCACCTTCTTTGAGACTTTCACTAATAAGTGAAAATTCTGCTCATTACCTAGAACTGATTGCTAATTACCTAACCTAGTGCTACACTGTAACAAGTCACAGAACTTTGGCATTGGTGATAAGCATTAGTTCTCTATATATATGGTGATAATATTCACATTTATATCGATTATGGCAATGACAAATTGGAGTAGCTCTGTGGTCTTAAAGGAGTATGTACAAGCCAAGAGTGATTCATAGCATTTTAAGAAAATGTAAGAATAAAGTTGACTTGCAAATGTTTTGAGAATATCAGTCCATCTAGCTTTGTGTTTAGTCACTGCAATTCACACTACAGCAACGCAAGTGTTTTCTAAGTCTATCTTATTACAGAAGTGATTAAAGTTACTTAGGGTATGACAGTGAAAAAGGAATAGCTGTGCATTTTTTGAGTGCTTGAAGCACTGAAGAACTACTGTAATTCATTTGAGCTTTTACAGAGGATTAACCAATCTCTCCTTCCCTTCAGTGAAAATGCTTCTCCCTTCTAATCATGTCCAACATGTATTCCTCTTTTCTATCTCTACCTCCTTTGGAAATCATCCCAATTTTGTTTCACTAATGCTGGAAGACACTCTTTTTTATTGGCATTTCACTGCAGCTTAACCTTTTTTTTTGTAATCTCTATAGTAAAATATTTAAATACAAGGTTTCATTCTAATAAATCTTGCTGCAATATCTTAAGCCTATTAATATTGCTAAAGCACATAGCTTTATTGACGCTATGTGGCAAAAAAAAACCCGAAACCAAACAAAACCAATCATTATTACTTTTGCTAATGAGAAATTAGGATGTTACCACTACATCAGAAATGTGATGATTCCTTCTAAAGAGTATCTTTTCATACATAAAGTAACGTACAAAGCTTGGGCTTGTTAAAAAAAAAGAAAAATCTATATCTGAAGGGGAAAAACTGAAGGGGATTATTTGTCCATTTATAATCACATAACCCTAATTCTGAAGTAGTCCACAGTTTCCAAATGGACTTCACAGCAAATGGGAAGACAGGCTAGTAAAAAAATCCTTAATCACACTTTCAAAGGGATCTACGGCTTGATTCATAAATGGGACTTAACGTCTATGTTTACTATTTTGCTGCTCTGATTTCTTGCAGAATTTACCACTTCAGAAACTACCTGAGGTTCCCTGAACATTCACTAGCAGAGTAATATGTGCCAAACTCTTCCAGCTCTCCCACCTCATCATCCAGCTCCCACTGATGCATCCTAACCACAGTGTGAAGGATTTATGTTCATATATAAACATGTGCTTCATCTGCACCCTTAGGTATTTATGTAATTTAGGAACAGTGGAACAAACTCCAAAGTGAGAAACTGATATATGTACCCTTCCCTTCTCTTATTGGTGTGAAAATAACATTTTTAGTGGGAAACTGGATTCAGCTGCCTGTTTTGGGTTGGAGACGATCAAACTGAAGCAAGGCCTTTCTGCCAACATGTCTTAAATATGCATTTGATCTTTTTTTTCTTAAGGTTTTATATTCCAGCACTTTCAAAAAGCTGATAAGAAAGTACCCATACTTGTATGTGTGTCTGTTCGCATATAAAGACTGCACTGGCACATAACACAAAACAACTAAGTGCCAATTTTCCAGGATTTAAACACAGACTAAAACTCCCTCTCCTCCCCGTGCAGAGAAATATACTTTCCAAAGCATGTCTCAAGTGCACAACAGGATCTGATTGTACGATCAGTAATACTTGTGTTTTTACCCCTCAATGGCCTAGGATTCAGCTGTACAAGTATTTCTAGCACAACATTGCCTAGCTGTGATTTAGAAGTGGAATAGGACTGCTGTACCAGACATTACACTCTGTGGAAGGAGGCTACAGAAAAGACTGCCAGAGCCCTGAAGTTGTAACAGTGTTTGTAAAGTGACTCTAAATGCCAGTTCAACTAGAATATTTAATTCCTCTCCATTTCTTTCCTCCTTCTTCCTAAGAAGTTTCCACTATGCAGCCCAAGTAGTCTAATCATTACCTGGGGCTATATCTATGTACTGGGCCTAATTAGTTAAAAATATAGCACTGAATTCTTCCCAAGCCTGCAATTAAGTCACAACATTAATCTTAGTCAATAACTTCGTTATCCTTGTTTTTCATCCTGGAATAAAGAGGAAGCGATGGACAGGTAGTCCTAGAGTCTAATCTTCTTTAATCCCACAGACTCTAGTCTAAAGAAACGAGGAGGCACACTTCAGCCTGCTGTCCTGCCATATCTCACCTCTGACTTGGAGCAATCAGCTCCAAGAGAGCACTGATTAGCATCTAGGCTCCTTGGCCTTCATCAGTTCTTACTGACAGACATTAGTAACCAATCACATGGATACCTAGTCACTAGCAGCTGCATAGAAACTATCAGCTGTTTTGACAGAGATTTATAAAAGTGATTTACAAACCATGGTCACAAAATAGCGGTGCAAACCTCAGGGGCTCCATATCTCCATGATGTTCGGTCACACATAAGCTATGAAGTATAAGCTAAAACTCACCCCTGATGGTGGACAATGGGCATAAGTTTTAGCAGGGCTGCATTTGAAATGGGGCTTGAAATAATTGACCTCTTACTGATTTCTTTATTAAGACAGAAGAATTCCACAAAGATATAAGCAGGGACTTTTACCATATTGCAGACTTGTCTCACTTTTGTGCCACTTGAGATCAGAGCTCTGTTTGCTTGCTAGACCTTTTAATTAGTCACAGCTTTTGGAAAGCCTAAATCACCCTAGTGATGAGAAAGAACTAGGAGAATGAGGACAGAAGGCTCAGCACCTTTACCTGCATGTGTTCCAACTGCCATCCCTCTGCTTTCCCACTCTGGTGGGGCCACCTAAGGGGATGCAAAGAGGAGCTCTGCCTCCTTTAAACGGAGATGCAGTACTGCTGCAGTCCCAAGGGATGACAGCTATTCTCAGGACTTTGATGAGCTCGGTGTTTAAGTGCTGCAGACCCAGGTGACAAAAATACTCAATTCTGAATGCAAATCATGTTAACTAGCAAGGGCATCAACTGCAAAATTTGACCACTGGTGAGTACAGTGACTTGGATCAATATGACCCTGCTCTCTTTTTCACCCTTTATTAATTTGGTGGTGAAATTAAAAATAGTATCATTCATCCTTTGTGCTGCAGTGTACTAAAACTGACTTGCAGTTGTTTTCTAATTATTTCCACTTCCATATTACAGCAAGGACAGCCTACTGCATTAAAAAAAAAAAAAGGAAAAAATTAAAAAAGGACACGAGGACTTACAGAGTTGTCTCTCACCAGAAAAGCACAGCACTGGATTCCTGCCAACAGCATTTTATGGGGATTCCAGGCAACAGAATCAGCCCTGTGAAATTTATAAATGGAGAAATGGAGGTGAAAATTGCACTGATAATCATGGGTCCTAGAGAATAAAAAATGGCCAAACATAATCCAAGCAAACAAATCAGATTTACCATTTCCCTCCTCCCCCACCCCCACATCCATAGTTTCAGAAGTCTCTCCAATTAACAGTAATATGTATTTTGGAAAATGCAGCTCTCACGGAGGCCAACAGGCCACACAACTTTTATCTCAGTCCCTGGTAAGTGTACCCAGGAACTAAACTGACTTACCTGTGGATGCCATGAAGAAGTCTGCAATGCTTCCTCGATATCAAAGCCGAGCCACCCCAAGAAGCCTGTTGGAAAATTTATAGAGCCAAGACAATATTATTTGTATAAAGATATTTTGATAATGCTTCAAGTAATAAATTGTGAAAATTTTTTATCTCATTTAAAACTTAGTTTACTACATGGCCAGTGGGCTAAATTTTGTCTTAAAAATCATTTACCAAAATAAAGATTGCGGTTTGGGGCTATGCCTAAAATAGAGGAGCTGATGGATTGTACCACTATGTAAGCCACAAACTACACTGTCCCTTCTGTGTAAGCAAGGGCATGAAGTGTCCTTCCATCATGACACCCATTCCTAATACTGAATCAGTTTCTTTTTCCCCAGCCTAAACCTAAGCAGTGAGAGCAGAAAGCCCCATTTTGTAGATCTTCTTCCTGCTAGCCATTTCCTTTCTGAGACAATGACAAGGGGAACAGCAGAGAACGTTAATCTCTGCCAATTGCAAAGTCCAGGCTGAGTTTTTCCACAGAGGTCAGATATGAAAAACTGTCAAGGTTTAACCACAGCCGGCAACCAAGCACCACACAGCTGCTCACTCACTCCTCCCCCAGTGGGATGGGGGAGAGAATCAAGAGAGTAAAAGTGAGAAAACTCCTGGGTTGAGATAAAGACAGGTAAAGCAACAGCAACACACACAAGCAAAGCCAACCAAGGAATTCATCCGCTGCTTCCCCTTGGCAGGCAGGTGTTCAGCCATGCCCAGGAAAGCAGGGCTCCATCACACAGTGGTTACTTAGGAAGACAAACACCACCACCCTGAATGTCCCCCCCTTCCTTCTCCCTCCCCCGGCTTTATATGCTGAGCACAGTGTCACATGGTATGGAATATCCCTTTGGTCAGCTGGGGTCAGCTGTGTCCCCTCCCAGCTTCTTGTGCACTCCCAGCCTACTGGCTGCTGGGGGGGTATGGGAAGCAGAAAAGGCCTTGACTCTGTGTAAGCACTGCTCAGCAATAATAAATACATAAATAAATAAATAAAATCCCTGTCCAGTACAAAACCAAAATATAGCCCCATGCTAGCTACTAGGAAAAAAATTACCCTAGAAAAAACCAGTACAAAAGCAGTCAGTGAGTAGGCAATAGCAGCATTTCTGTTACCAGAAATCCAACTGACATTAAAATCTCCCTCAGGTCATCCAGGAACTAAGTGTGTGGTCTACGAGTCATTTATGCCTGTTCCATAGTGAGGAGCTCTCTGCTGAAACTCCTTATCAAGTATTATCTTACCTATTCTAGATACCTGTCTTTGGGTGACACCTTTTGCAGATGTCTCTCTCCATGGACTAAAGAAGGAGCCCAGACCAGAAGCTTTTATTATACAAGTGTTAATTTCTGGGCAACTGGAATCAGGGAAGGTGATTCTCATCCATGAATTCTGCAAGGATCAGATTTTAACCACCAAGTGCTTGAGAATCTTCAGTTCTCAAAGAACAAGTATTTGTTCACAGGGGAGGAGTGGGGAGAACACACAACAAACAGAAGACATGTCACAGAGTGCATTGGAGAAATTATTATTAAATATGAAAAAAAAAAAAAAAAGGATTTTTGATGTTCATGCAGACAGAAGCTACTTAAGCAAATTCCCTGTGAAGTAAGCAAGGCTTCTCAGAGATGCACAGGGAGGCATCAGTCCACAAAATATCTGGAATCAGCTTGTAAAAAAAAAAAAATAAAAAAAAATAAAAAATCATATATTTTGGGCTAGTGAAGGAAACAAAAAAAAAAAAAAATCACTGATCCATGCTTCTTTACCCAGTTCAAAGACCAAGTGCTTAGGGATCCAGGGCTGGCAAAAAAAAAAACCCAACAACAACCCCCACACAAAAAACAAAAGAAAAAACCCACAAAATAAAAAATCGCACAAAAAACCAAACCAAGCAAATAACAAAGAATGAGAAGGTACCCAAAAAGACTGAGAATCACTGGCTTTGTCTGGTTTTAAAGACCTCTAATGATGGAGGGTGCACAACTTATACCACTTAATTTGTGGTTATCAGTAACAACACTACTGATTTCAACTGTCAGTCTCAAACAGTGTTACTTCTTGTCATAACTGCAGCGGTCAGGGGAACAGATTATTCCTTTTCTTTTTGCAGCAGCCTTTAAAGCACCTGCAGACTGTTACATATTGTCTCTTTGTCTCTTCTAGTTTAAATAACATCAGTGCTTTCCATCTTTCCTCATTGGTCATAATTTCTAGATAAGGTTTTGTTTATCATCACTACTTTACTACTTTCTAGTCTTTCTTCTGTAGGTCCTTAACCTTCCTGAAATGCCACTTTTTATTTGGACACAAACTAGATAAAGCAGATGGAGCACCAAGCAGGAAGAGATGATTATTTTACATATCTTCTCATTCAATTCTGAAAGACATTTAACCCTATTTGAAAATGCTTATGATCACCAACTTGTGATGTACTGCAAACCCCAGATCTTTTTCTGAAGATCTGCTGTCTAGCCATCAATCCCCAACCTGTGTTTGTGCAGTTGATTACCACAGCTTAAACTCAGAGCTCTATCTTTATCGAACTGTAGCCTAGTTTTTCCACTTACTTCTCCAAACTGTCAAGATCTCTTTGATTTCTAATCCTGTCCTCCCACTGCCTCTTGCAAGAGGCTACACAGCAGTTTTATATCATTTTCAAATTTAATCAGCGTATTCTTTTTCATCTGTTATTAATGAAAACACCAGATGATTTCTAACCTAGAATGGACCTTTGTGGAATCCTGCTCAAATTTTTCTCCCCTTTCAGCAGTGAACCACTATTAACTTCTCTCTGGGTATGATTTTCCAGCCAGGTTTTCACTCACTACCACAGCTGCAGCTTGGGATGTTTCTCTGGCTGTCTGATGAGATAGTGCAAAGACACAATAAAGTTAACTGCTTCTCCTCCATCCGTGAGATTACAGAAGGAAGGTAGATTGGTCAAACCAGATTGACACATTTCCTTTACAACAAATACAGCTGAGAGCAATGCAGGGTAGCTCAAAATGCAAAGATTATCACCTGTGCCCCAAGCAATTGGTAACTAGGTATGAGAAAATTACTGTTTCATATACAACAAACCACTTATAGCTGAACAACGGGAATCACAGTGCTTGCAGCGTGATTAAACTAACTACCTAAGCACAGGCTAATAGGTCAAATCTGATCTTCTGCACTAGCCTAGCCAAGGGAAAAAGAAGTCAAAGTAAGGATAAGTAGGGAAGAAATACTCATACATAGCATTTAAAGCTACATGAACACCATACATGACATACACAAGTGCTGGAGCTTGAGTGTATATTGAAGATGCAAAACAAGTCATTAAGAAAGGCCTCATAAATACATGATAGAATGCAATAAGCAACTGGAATGCATGTATGAATACTGCAAAGTGCACAAAATAAGCCTGGTTATAGGCTCTGCACTGAGGCTGTTGAATGGCTTGACTGTTGAGACAGTTTGGGCTTATTGGTATTATCTTCTTAAAACAACTTTTTCCTTCACTCCCTTTTTCTCTTTAGGTTTGTCTCCATGCAAGAGTTTATCCACTATTTCTGACTTTATTGAAATCTATCTTCCTGAAGCCCACTGATTTTATGTTGACATTCTCCCTTTTGTCCTTCCTAAGAATTATGAGCTTTATAATTTCATATTTAATGAAAAGAGTTTCCCTAAGGCAAACATATCAATTTTCAGGATCAAAAAATATTCTGAAATGAAATACATCAGTGTAAGTCTGGAAATAACACCACTGACATTCATACGATATTCTTATAAATAGCTCAAGACCATCTGCAGTAGATAATCCTAATTCCCATCAATGATACACAAAAAGTCCTAAATTAGACAGAACCTGCCCTGGTTTTTAATCTTTGTTTTAATTGTACTGCATCGTTTTGTCCTCCAAAGTTACAGCAGGCCCAAAACAGCAGTACTCACTTGCTGTCACTCAGACTGCATAACACGGAAATCATTCAACAAGAAACCAGGCCTTTCAGAGGAATGTAAATCCTCAGAGCTTTCAAAAATATTATATTCTTGTCTATAAGGCTAGAAGGAGGCAGGCTTGCTTAAAAACAAAGAAAAAAATCCAACTCTTCACTATGTTTTTTAAAGAATGGCAGGTGTCTGGTCTCACTGTACCTTCCTTTTCACATATTATTCTAATAAACCTATTTCTAATGGTGCTGTGAGTGAAAAAAGCTCACATTATAAATTGGCAGTCTGCTCATTTCACCAAGCACGTTTGTATATACATGTATGCCTGATGTCACTTACTTGAAAAGCTTTCAGTCTTTTCCCCATACTCTGTTGCCATATAAATCCAGCTAGAAACTTTAAACAAAGAAGAAACAGCCATCCGCTCAACTCTTCATAGAGGGTGAGAGGAAAGATGGAAAAAATACTGATAGAATGCCTGAGAACCATTGAGAGGTTCATAACATGAATCACATCTTAACAGAACAATTGGTCTTCCAGACCATAAATCCAATTTATTACTAGACATTTTTCCTTCTACTGGGAATCAATTAAGATCTGACACCTACAGACACTGTTCAAAGAGAAAATTAACTTTAGGATATTCACTGACATCTTTACCATAGTTTAACATGAGGCACAACTGGAAGAAGAAAGTTAATTCTTTACAAAACACTACCAGCCTATGGAGCATATAGTTCAGAATATGGCCTTAGGCTCATCCCACTTTATTTTAGTTATTCAGCTACAAGGATTACATTAAGAGACTACTCATTGTCCTCCTGCAGCCACTAGAGATAGCTTCAGCCACGTCTATTCGATTCACCTAAGATCCAGCACAGATTCTGAATACATCCCTCCTTCTACCAACCATATGCAGACATGCAAGAGACAAGCACCTACTGTGGATGCCACGCTTCTGCAGAAAATCTGCTGGGTCATTCTCAGCAGCACACAGCCATGAAAAGGCTTTGCAGACACTTTAAAATACTAGGGCTAAATTCTGCCTCCAAGTCAGTAAGAAAACTCTTTTGACGCACACATACAGTGACTTTATTTATTAAAGTCTGTGAGACATTTATTTGAAACACACATTGCCGCCTACATGATTTTTCTTCAGATACTCAACATTAAACAAACACTTCAAAAATTTAAGGCAGGTCTAAAAATCTCCATTAATCTTGCTCCAGATTCTCTCATTGTTCCATGGCTTTTAATCTAGCCAGTCTGGATTTGTGGCATTGCAATTATAAAGATAATGCCATTTTAGAAAATATTAAGAGATCTAGTTTTAGAAAAATACATTTACAGCTAACTCTTTCAGGTAATAAAAAGGCTCAATGATCATTCTAAAAAGGTTCATGAATGGATTTTAATATCCAAACCTAAAATTATAAAGAAATTATAAAAGAAAAATTTCTGAACAATTTAGGAAGACGTAAGGAGATCTACAGGAAACTCAAACCTGTAAATATGAAACAGAATAATTCACAACTACTTGAGTCAGAAATATACCTTCATTTTAAGCTGTATGAACCGTACACCACAATTCTAGTGTGTCCATTCTCCAATAGAATGTGGAAAGAATCCAAAGTTATATTTGTATATAATCATACTTGAAGCATTTTTAGGAGGTAGCAAGAAGAAATTTATTTTTAAATCATTTTGAAATATAAACTGACAATGACAAAATAGATTTGACTGCTTGTCATAACCAAATTATTTGCTGTTCTTTAGCACATGTAACAGAGACAAATCCAAATGTATTTCTGGCTTTTGTGGAAAAAAAATAAAAAAAGAAAACAAAAGAAAAAAATTATTAGAGCCCTACTTACTTCTACAAAGAAAAATCAACAGTCAAAGAAAAATGGTAATTTATAAAAGAACAAAGCTAAACTTTAAAACCACACAGTATACAAACTCACGTCAACATGAAGCCAGAGGCCATGCTTTTCACAGATATCAGCAATTTTATCCAGAGGATCAAATGCTCCCAGCACTGTTGTGCCTGCTGTAGCACAGACAAGAAATGGTGCTGACCCCTGCAACAGAATTCAAACCAAGAAATTGTCATTTGCACTGCTCATTTCCTCCAGTATATCCACAGAGCTGAAGTATAAAAAGGTCTAGGAATGTAGAACAAAGATTCAACAGTCTACATTTTAGTTTCCCAGCAGAAAACACTGCATTGAGTGCTGCCTCTTTTTTCTTTTTTTTTTTTTTTTTTTTTTTTAATTAATTAAAAAAAAGGCATTCTCCATTTCCAGTTAACACCATCCCAGGGCAGACTTCACCAGCTTCAGACTGTTTTGACAGATGCTACTTTTGTCAAGATCAAAACATAGTGGATATTTTACATCCCTCTTTATACAATGATATTCATTCCTCAGTCTTTCACATTTTAGTATTGTATTTGCTGCCATTCTGCCAAGTGAAATAAAGCCACTAGTTCAGCCAGCAGGCTACCCATGCAAGGAAAGGGCTCATCCCTCTAGGGTTTCCACCTGCCTTGTCTCTACAATGCCCCTATTCTCTGCTTGGTGAAGAGGAACCTTTAGTTAGGGAACATGATTTGCCTTAGGCAGTGCTGGCACTGGCACGGGACAGTCACTGCTGTCTGACCCATGTGTCTGATCTACATCTAGCATCAGACAACCATCACAAGCCACCATTTAGGTTCCTGCTCCGGCAGAGGGATTGGACTAGAGGATCTTTCGAGGTCCCTTCCAACCCCTAACATTCTGTGATTCTGTGATTTTGGCTTCAGTGGTTTCGCTCATTGCTTCCCCATTCACCTAATAGCAGGGGAGCAATTACAATAGCAGACTAGGTCTTGAACCCTGGCAGATGTATGTGCCTGTGCCTACCTAGGAACAGAAACTGAAACAATAAAAAGAATTGGTGGAATCCGTAATAACTCCATGAAACTGAAAGCACCAGCCCTAGCAATGGCTGTGCTGGCAAATACATGCTGAAGGAACTCCTCCACACATTTCAACATCTGGCCCGAAGCTTGACAACACGGTTACTGAAGAGGCACTAAAGTAGTTAAATTGTACAATCTGAGATCCCTGGAGTTCATTTGCAGTGAATCAAATCTCTCAGATGATGTAAGTCTCTCTGCTGATGTAACTCAATGTAGCTTCACTGAAATCTGACAGCTGAAAAAAAAAAAATCAAACTCTGTATATGTCTTTGATATTTTTTTTTTATTTTTATTTAAAAGTGTTGCCACTTTTAAACATCTCCTACAGAGACAGAGGTTTGACTGACATTTGCACTCTGACAGTTTTATACTTCTTTAACAGTGTAGAGGACTGTTAGAATGGTGCATAATTATGAGTTATTTGTAATTTAAAATGTCTTTACAAATTGCTAAAACAGTGAAAAGTAACTTTGGAATTAATTTAAATTAACTCTATACTTTCATAAAGAACTACCAGCCCATAATTCGCTTCTTGGTCATTCATTCCTAGTACAATTTACAAAAGTCAATCAAACTTACAAAACAGCCTCAAGCTCAAGTACAAAACACGCTTGCAAGTGAGGTAAAGATGTATCTGCTGCACTGAGCAGTTTCTGTTAGCGTTCTAATCAATTTTCTCCCACAGCTACATCAAAGTCAAAGCTCCCCCAGCAGCCAGCAGGTAATGTAACTGAATATGGGGACAAGTGTAGGATCTCTACAAATCCCAAAGATTGTTACTATTACCTCTTTCCCCACAAAGAAGGGAATTGAATTTTTATTCTTCTTGACAATAAAGCTAAATAAGTCTTCCTAATTAAATCCTCTAAAAAGAGACCTAAGACTCTTGCTACTCATAGTCAGTGATCATTTGTGCTCCTAACACTAGCAAGTACATCTTCTGTTGTCTAGAGTCATTAGAATATTTACTGTAATTCACTGAAGTGTCCTGATGTAAGAGTTGTAAAATAGCACTTTATCAAGGACAGACACACTTACTGAAGCTCTGGTGACATTAAAACCTTCCAATACACTTGTAACTTCCATTAAAATACAAGTGAAATAGTGTTTCTCCTGTAAGCAGAGCACTTAAATATAGAGCATTTGTTTTTAAATTACAGAGCACTGTACTGAGGCTAATTAAAAAAAAAAAAAATCATAAATGCCAGATTTTTTTTTTTAAATAACTACTAAATTTATTATTACACCCACAAACAAAAATTCTAGGTTTTTTTAAAAGCTAAGAGCTCATTCTCCTGTCAGCCTGCTTCCTCTTGCTCCATTTTATTTCAGTCATTTTTTTCTTAAATAGGGAAAGTACAGATGTCTTCTATGGATAATGCAAAGTACAGAAAGAGGCAAACAGAGTTTGCTAGGTAATTAGGTAATGTTTGCTAATGTTAGGTTAGAGTTTGCTAGGTAATGTAGCAACAGTTATGCTATCTAGCATGAAAATCAAAGAGATATTTTTTTGGCAGGAGATGATGTATCCAAATCAGGTCTCGGTGAAAGTTGTTGTGTCCGTGCCAGTGCATGACAGGACAGCACTGCCTTGGCTTTTCTATCAGCCACAACAGTATCACAGAACCATAGAATGTCAGGGATTGGAAGGGACCTCGAAAGATCATCTAGTCCAATCCCCCTGCCAGAGCAGGAACCTAAATGAGATCACACAGGAAGGCGTCCAGGCGGGTTTTCAATGTCTCCAGAGAAGGAGACTCCACAACCTCCCTGGGCAGCCTGTTCCAGGGCTCCGTCACCCTCACTGTAAAGAAGTTTCTTCTCAAGCTTAAGCGGAACCTCCTGTGTTCCAGCTCACACCCAGTGCCCCTTGTCCTACCACTGGGCATCACTGAGAAGAGCCTGGCTCCATCCTCCTGACATTCTCCCTTAACATATTTATAAACATTAATGAGGTCACCTCTCAGTCTCCTCCAAGCTAAAGAGCCCCAGCTCCCTCAGCCTTTCCTCATAAGGGAGATGCTCCACTCCCTTCATCATCTTGGTGGCTCTGTGCTGGACTCTCTCAAGCAGTTCCCTGTCCTTCTTGAACTGTGGGGCCCAGAACTGGACACAATACTCCAGATGTAGCCTCACCAGGGCAGAGTAGAGGGGGAGGGGAACCTCTATTGACCTACTAACCACACCCCTTCTAATGCACCCCAGGATGGTAGGATTCCATGGCAGGCACTGTTGACACCATGGACATTGCACTAGTTGCTTGGCATTCGCAGATTGTGAACTAAGGGCTGAGCTCTGAATCCTACTGTTCTCATGCACAAACTGGAAGTGAGAAATAAGGTGAGCTAACCAAGCCAAAAGAAGATGCTTCAAATTCATACTCAGTCCTCCAAGTTCCCTAAAATAAATTAAGTTGACTATAGTAAGCACTGTCTTACAGACTGTGCGTATATATGTTAATGTTGTCTAAATACATACATCAGTACGTTTCCAAACACTGGCCTTTGACTTGCTACTTAGCAAAGTCCCTAGAGGAAAAGAGGCATAAAAGAGATTTTCTGCACTCTTGCTACAATACTAGAAAGGACCAAATTTAGCATTTATAGCTTGTATAACAGTTTTAGAGACTAAGTCACATGTTACAGCTCTTGCTTACTGCAGAGGATAGAACAATATCTGCTGTAATTAACTGAAAAACCTACAGTTTCACTTATCATCTAAGGAGAACAAATACTGCATCCAGTTAAAAAAGGATCAAGGGCAAAAGAAATCCTAGAAGAAATGTGCTAAATACTTCAGAGCAGTGTTGTACTCAGGACTTTCATTAGCAGTAAACACTCTATGGAATTTTTCTCTCTCATAAGAGTGTAGCACCTGAAAGTTTTTGCTTGTTCCACAAGTTTGTGGCAAGTGGAATTTTTCTCTCTCATAAGAGTGTAGCAAGTTTTTGCTTGTTCCACAAGTTTGTGGCAAACAGATGACAACTGTAAGAAAGACATTGGTATATTAACCGTCCTTTTTTAAGATTTCACTCTCAGTTTTCCTTCCTTTCATTCAGACACAAGCACACAGTCTACGTACACTCCTCCTCTCTCCTTCATGCTCTCTCTCCCCCTCTCACCTCTTTTCTGGCCTGTTGGACTTGTTTCTCCAGTTCCTCAGGTATCATCTTACCTCTAAGGGACACAGATTTAAAAGTTTTTCAGTTACATTTAAATATGTTGGTTATGTACAGCATTACTGCAATTTAAAGAGGCTCAGAGACCACAACCATGGCTTTTGCTCACTTACCTTTCATCTGTTTTAATGAAGTAAACATTTTCTGTACCGATACCCAGGAAGGAGGCTGCCTTCTTCATGGAATAATGACACTATAAATGAAAGAAGCATGAAGAAAGTGAGTATACAATTAGAAAGAAAGAAAGAAACTCCTTAGCATAGGGAACAGTGACACTAAAATTAATTTTACAGCAGCTAACAGTTATGACATCAGTATATCCTAACACAAAAAGCCAACTGACAATTGTATTTAACAATTAATGACACACACACTGAAGACTAAGGAAAATAGACAAAAAAAGTGTGCACCATGTTTAAAATGTGGGCTGAAAAAGCTCTATTCCACATGATTTTTTTAAAGCTGGTTCTGCATTAGAATGAAAAGTAGAAATTTTGAGTGTTACCAGGGAAGAGTAAGTGTTTCAAAATGTTTTAGTAGAAGTGAGTGAAAAGTATCAATGAGTGTAGGAGTTAGGAAATGCATGAGAAGAAAGGTCCAAAGGCTATTGAACTCAACAGCCTAGAAGCAATTGATAGGTCTGAAAGTCCAAAAGCACCACTCCTTAGAAACTGGACCCCTAATTACGATGTATCTTATGACATACACAAAGCCTCAACCACTTTATCCTTGTAATTTTTCATAGAATCACAGAATGGTTTGGGTTGGAAGGAACCTTAAAGATCGTCCAGTTCCAACCCCCCTGCCATCAGCAGGGACACCTTCCACTAGACCAGGTTGCTCAAAGCCTCATCCAACGTGGCCTTCAACACCTCCAGGGAGGGGGCATCCACAACTTCCTTGGGCAACCTAAACCAACCTTTTCTATATGCTTTCTCTAAGCATCAACTGCTGGCCACTGCCAGAAACAGGATACTACGTTAAACTGACCTTTGGTCTGATCCAGCGACTCTGTTCATAGGATCAAGGAGCTCAAGTCCCAAGATTTACCAAAGCCTTTAGATGTGGTACAATTGGGACTTTCAAGGTTTTCAAAGCCCTACCTCTGCAAAAAGACCCGAAAATCTTGGTGTTTAGACACTGAGGTTGTTCACATGAATGTGGATCTTAGAAAACATTAAAAAAGCAAGCAGATTTTAGACAGGATTTAAGTACATCTTCAAAAGTCTTTAAATAATTACGGATTTTGAAAAAGGATCCAGTCTGGACCAGTCTGCATTTTCCAGAAAATGAAGTTACTATTTCAGCAAAGTATTTTAGCTAGGTCTCATCAGAGGCATCTTTGAATGATTACAGATACAGGCAGCCCACTTCTCACTTTGCACTGAATAAAGGGCATTATTGTATGAAGCCTGTGAAGTGAGAGTAAAAAAAAAAAAAGAGGTCCCTTCACCTGCTCAAAGGTTGTTAGAAGTGGGTGTTTATTCAATCATAATGTGGTAAAATGTAGGATACTCGAGCCCACAGTCCACTCTCTACTTTTTAAAAGCTTTTTTCTGTTAAAAAACCATTCAAGGTCCTATATCTTACTATATTTCCAACATCCACCTCTATAAAATAGGACCTGCTATACTGTGGATACAGTTATTCTGGCACAAGAACATTTTGTCTTACTCCAGAATAGGAGTGTGCCGATCTCTGCTTAATCTACCTTCAAGATTAGCCTGGGAATTCAAAATACAGTAACCTTCTTAATCTGCAGATACTTTTTTTAATTTTTTTTTTTTATTCAGAATGTCAAACCCACTCTGAATAACCTGCAGCATGCCAAATGCCTACCCACTCACAGCAATGGAGTCAGTTTGGAGAACATGCAGCATCTCATACTACACAGTTCTTCTCAGAATCAAGATCATCCAACCCTTGGATTATCACTACTCTTCTCAAAAAAATAAAATTGGCTCTTTTTCACATTATTACTGAAGAATTAAAATAATATACACTCCAGTAACTGTGAAGATGTCTAGAATTGTTACTTTTCATACAGGAGGTGAAGCCAGGTGGTTAATTAATTCCATTTTCTTCCAGAGAGTTCATACAAATGCAGTTACTGTGGAACATAATTATGAAAAATGTACAACATTTTAATGTGTGGGTATGAATATATTAAGGGCATTCAAGCCTGTCATGCTTATTTTGATGAGATGGATCATCTCAAAGGGTTCTTTTTCTTTTTGACAAAAAGGTTTCCTGCACCATCACCCACTTTTTAAATAAATGCATGCAAAGATATTACCTGATACTACCAGGTAGGTATAAGAAAGCTTAATTTTCTAACGACACATCCATAAAGCCTTTAGGGCTCATTCATTTAAACTGTTACAAGAATAATAACATACATAGGTGGATAATTAGTCTTACATTACATTGAATTACATCAATAATGGTAATAATGATTGTAGAGTGGTTGTGTGTTGTTCATTAGAAATTTGGAGATGTCTTTAACTGATTAGTGAATCACTAATCAACTATACAAGCTGCCTCTATCACTGATTTCTATCCATTAGGTTCAAATGAGAGGTATGAATTACCAGGTATAATCAGACTGCTCCAAATTGAGAAAGTAGTACACCTGCAAATTCAGTATACTAGTAAATGGGCAATCACTAAATCACGGATTTTATTACAAAAAATTGTATGGGAGAGTGGGAGAAAGATAAAAAGAGGCCTGAGCACCTGAGAGATTATACCAAAAAAGCAGAGGGAAAG